CATTTGGCCCTCACTCTGTCTCTACCGTGTTTTCCGTTCACTCGAGGGATACCATATATGGAACCTACCATGTTCTCGACTTATTCAATTTCTCAGCATTTGGCCCTCACTCTGTCTCTTCCGTGTTTTCCGTTCACTCGAGGGATACCATATATGGAACCTACCATATTCTCGACTTATTCGATTTCTCAACATTTGGCCCTCACTCTGTCTCTACCGTGTTTTCCGTTCACTCGAGGGGTACCATATATGGAACCTACCATGTTCTCGACTTATTCAATTTCTCAACATTTGGCCCTCACTCTGTCTCTACCGTGTTCTCCTTCAACGATATCATATAAATCTTCACTCAGCCTTCCCGTGTACTCATATCACTCGAGGGGTGGTACATGGACTTTCGCTCTATCTCTACCGTGTTCACATTCATTCAGTGGTTTACCTTTTATGGACCTTGACTTCTCCCCTACTGGGTTCTCTTTTCATCTGATGGCTACCGTATATAGGAATGCATTCCGGCCCAATCGTTTTGCCATCTTATCCAACAGCTTTCAATTCAGTGACAGATACATAAGCCCTCTCTTTTTATCTACCCTATTTTCCCCTTATTTAATGGAAATTGTTTCTAATTTCTCACTTCCGTATCCAGCTCTTCATTCATTTTTTTATCGGATTCAACAACAACTTTGTGATACAAGATAAATTTACGTTATGCATTTTCAGTTGATTGAAGTTCGCTTTAAGCAACTCAGACTTTCCGGATTCCGATTCATCCAACGATACTATTCACTCTTACGACCTTATTTGAACAAAATCAGGTAAGAATACTGCCTAACCTGACTTTATTGACTACGGAAGTTTGACGCATGATTTCTATGATTTTCAGTCCTATTTTTTCCTGTTCGACTATACCCATCTGCCGACTTTGAAAGACTGTCATCGCAACCGCTGAGTACGTTTACACGCTTCAGATTTTTTACTGGCGATTTCGTTAGAAGGCCACTAACTGTGGTTTCAGCCTTTGCAATTTTATTATGCTGAGTGGGAGTGATTTTGTAACTTAATTGATTGAGCTTCATTTGTGAAGTGGTTATTTCCAAGAATCGGGGTCTATAATCCTCTGCAAATCAAGCAAGTCTTGAGAAGACTGCATATGCTTCGAGTATGAATTTAAAGAATTTCAAACTGGGTTTTTATAGAGAATTGCCGAACCATAATCAAAAAAGGAATGGAAGCGCAGGAACAGACTAGATCGCAGATGGGCCACATCAAGGAGAACCCTCAGGAGAGCGAGTCACAAAGCGCATTACCGCAAAGAGAAGCGGCTCACACAGAACCTGCTCCCTCGGTGGAAAGCGAGTCTGCTGCTACAGGTGATTGAAGAACAACCACCACGGTTCAGTTCATGCATATATCCTAGCTGTATTAAACTTTGCAACATTATGAGTAAAGAAGGAGGCGCATTTTAGATATTCGCCAGGATGCTGTGGCACAAAGACGACTTCGACCCAGAGTTCGTGAAACTGTGGGACTACAGAGGAGCGGAACGCAAAGTGTAATAGCTAGAAGTCGAGGAAGGGGAACGCGCACAGATGCTGCACCTCCTGAGGAGAGCGGCACTGTTTCAGCAGGTAATCAAGATCAATTGCAATGATTCATTTTACACAATGGCCCTACATGTACTGAAAGTGGTAGAATTGGAAGGTTCATTGAGACGCATTTCAGATATTCGTCAGGATGCTGGGGCACAAAGACGACTTCGACCAAGCCGAAGAAGGGGAACACGCACAGATGTTGCACCTCCTGAGGAGAGCGGCACTGTTTCAGCAGGTAATCAGAGATCAATTGCAGTGATTCATTTTACACAATGGCCCTACATGTAGTAAAAGTGGTAGAATTGGAAGGTTTATTGGGACGCGTTTCAGATATTCGTCAGGATGCTGGGGCCCAAGGACAGCTTCGACCAAGCCGAAGAAGGGGAACACGCACAGATGTTGCACCTCCTGAGGAGAGCGGCACTGTTTCAGCAGGTAATCAGAGATCAATTGCAGTGATTCATTTTACACAATGGCCCTACATGTAGTAAAAGTGGTAGAATTGGAAGGTTTATTGGGACGCGTTTCAGATATTCGTCAGGATGCTGGGGCCCAAAGACAGCTTCGACCAAGCCGAAGAAGGGGAACACGCACAGATGTTGCACCTCCTGAGGAGAGCGGCACTGTTTCAGCAGGTAATCAGAGATCAAGTGCAGTGATTCATTTTACACAATGGCCCTACATGTAGTAAAAGTGGTAGAATTGGAAGGTTCATTGGAACGCGTTTCAGATATTCGTCAAGATGTTGGGGCACAAAGACGACTTCGACCCAGAGTTCGTGTAACTGTGGGGCCTCAGAGTAGCGTAATACAAGATTCACGGATTGGAAGCGGAAGAAGAGAGACTCGCACAGGAGCTGCCCCCTCAGAGGAAAGGGACACCGCTTTAGGAGGTGAGAAATCTGTGATCAAATACAAAGATTTTTTCATTACAATGGGTCCTATGCAGTAGAAGTTTTCATCGGGTTGATTTTGATTTTATTGGGCTTTCGTGATTCTTAGATGATGTCGAATTTTTTTTACTTTTTGATTGGACATCCGGTCGGAGGCTTTTTTTAACTTTTTTGCCTATTCTCTCTCAACTTTCAGTATACGTGTTTATTGATTTAACTTCAAAAAATACCTATAAAACTTCTTAATAACGCATTCTTCTCCACCTATTCATGAGGTCTGCTTTACCTTGAGATACAAAAGCTCACTTTGACCTCTTTTCGAGTTCACTCAGCTCATGAAGTAGGTGAAAGTGTCACATCCATTAGTAAGCCAATTATAAATGTTACTTCTACGGAATACGTGCTTTTGACTACATATTCGCTTTGTAATGGTATCACAACGTCAAAAAATGCAAAATTTGTCATAGAACTTTTGATGTCAAATATCAATGCCGTGTTTCAGAGAATACGCAAGAAGGGCCGCGAAGACGGCGGGGTCACCAAGAATTCATACCAGTGAAGGCGAGCGTCAAAGAAGTAGACGTGAGAGAGAATCCTCGGGAGAGCGCGCAGTTCGACAGCAAGCTGAAGCAGAACGTCAACGGAGACGACGTGAGAGAGAAAGCAGTGACGAACGAGCTGTTCGACAGCAAACGCAAGCAGAACGTCAACGGAAAAGACGCGAAATAGAAAGCAGTGAAGAGCGAGCTATTCGACAGCAGGCTGATGTAGAACGTCAACGAGGAAGACGTGAAAGAGAAAGCAGTGAAGAGCGAGCCGTTCGACAGCAGGCTGATGTAGAACGTCAACGAGGAAGACGTGAAAGAGAAAGCAGTGAAGAGCGAGCCGTTCGACAGCAGGCTGATGTAGAACGTCAACGAGGAAGACGTGAAAGAGAAAGCAGTGAAGAACGAAGGCCAAGACTCCGATCTGATACCGAGCGTCATCGACGAGCGCGTGCAGAAGAAACCTCACAAGAAAGGAGTGTTCGCCTCACAAGTGATGTTGAAAGGCACCGAAGAACGCGTAATCGTCCTTCTGTCTTGCGTGGAATAGCTTTAAGGAGTCGATTCACAGATCCTGGTTATCTAGGTGCTCTAAGCAATATTTGTGAGAATTGTGGTGCCCGCCATTTCGTCTGTGAAGTCACCGCAGCACCCAACTCAATTTCTAGATTGTTGCGAGTTGGGCCGGTTCAATTTGAACTTCTTCAACGATTTTCCTGGAGGGCTACGCAGACTATTTGTTCAACAACCCAATGACTCGGAAGAACATCAACGAATCCGAAGGAACTTCATGGAAAACATACGAACATTTAATTCAGCATTAGCAATGGCCTCGATGGGTGCGCAAGTTGACGCTCTCAGAGGAAGAGGTCCCTATTGCTATCGCATTCATGGACAAGTCTGCCATCGCATAGGACCACTTCATCCGCAGGAAGGAGAACAAAGACAGTATGGACAAATTTATATCTTGGATACTGAAATGGCCGCACAAGAAAGACTTGGAAATATAAGAAATGTTGACTGCGATCCTACCCTGATGCGATTCCTGAGCGAACTCATTTCCAATGTGAACGTTTATGCCCAGTCATACAAAATGATGAGCGAAGTTGAACAGGCTGAAATCGCTTTGGCACGTAGCGAGAACCGTGCTCCGGCCAATATTAGAATATTAGGATGGTCTTTGAAGAGAGTAGAGAAAGAGGGCTTGCCCGACGCCAGTATGACA